GGGGAGGCTTTACTTCCTCCCTTATCTTTTATTTGTTTATTGAGTTAAGTTTGTTGTTGTTGTTGTTGTTGTTGTTGTTTTTTCCTTTATAGTGCATCTAGGCTTAATGGTTTTCTACATGGAGAGCTCTCGTTGGCGACATAAAGGCTTCTCCGGCGCGTGGTGAAAAAGGCGAACGGCAATGTCTGACTGTGTCGTACGTCGTCCTGCTATGACCTACCATGGCCTACTTTTGGAGCGCTTGAAAAGACACATAGAGTAGAACTTTCTAAACGAGTTGATGTGAGGGCGTGATAGTAAATTGTAGTAATACGGAGTGTCTATTGGAGGGTCGACAAGGCGTAATAGTACATTAAAGTAATATGGAGTGTCTATTGGGGGATCGACAAACCGATGGCTCGACTTGTTGCCTGAAAACAAACTCGTTTGTTTTTTTAGACGACGAGTAAGGAGATCTGTTTGTGCCACGGTAGGCGCTTTGCACTCTCAATCTGGCTAGCAAACTGAACTAAACCGGTCGTGCCAATGGGCGGGCACTGGGTTTAAGTGGAACTACTCGTAGTAAATCCACCATGGGAGAGCCACTAACTCAGCTGGGGGTTAACTGAACCACAACAGGGGGTGACCCTGGTTAGAATCCCCAATGAACCGTTCTCCAGCCTTGGGCATATGGGAGAGTTTTCAATTTGCTTTCTTCTACTCAGTCGGTTCGGCCATATCGGAGATAAAAGTTAAGTGCGGAGGTTTTTTAACAAAACAAAACAAAACAAAACAAAACAAAACAAAACAAAACAAAACACCTTGACGTCATCCTGCTTCAAGTGCCATTGTACCCATACCGTACCTAAGCCCAATATGCATCATTTTGCGAGAGGGGAGGTTGTGGGTCTGATTCTGGGCTTCTGTCAGGTAAGATCAAAGATTCTCCACTAAGGCCAACTCGTTATCAAAATCTGAAGCAGACATCAACGATCACGACCTTAAGGCCTATTATTTATCTTTTTATCGCTGTCTTTCCCTGCAGCCTACCTTTTCAAATAATTGTGGACAGTTAGGCCAAACTTGTTCTTCCTTTACCTGTGCTTCTTTTCGTTTCTCTTCTTTTTTCTGGTGAGAGTAAGATGTTCTCGGCCTTTATGTGGATTCTCACGTGTCCCAGAAACCGCACTTGCCGCTTACCTCTTCATATCCTATTTTTCTCGCACCCGAATACCTAGCCAGGTTAATACAAAAAGGCTGGCATTTTTTCACAGGTTATCTAGCAGAAAATGAGTACAGAGAGCAGTACTATAACGACCAACAGTAGTTTGTTCGTACTGCTGTTCATAATAGTATTATTATGTGACGTTGATACAATCTCAGTCATTATTTTATGCATGCTATGACAACCCAAACGCCCACAA